CCCCAAAACCCCAAAACCCCAAAACCCCAGGGTGGAGAGGGGTGGTTGAAGGGATTTGGTAGAAAATTGATTTTTGGAGGGTTTGTAGGGTGTTTAGAGGTACAGAATTTATGAGGTGATAGTATTGGAATTAGATTAGGGTTCTTGTAATTTAAGGTAAATATTTTATATCTAAAAGTTTTGAAATTAAGTACTGTAATTAAAAAATTATAAAAACCCTAAAAATCCCCAACCTCACTCATCTTTCCTTATCTCATAACTCCCACTTTCCTCTCCAAAAAACGACGAAATTTCCCTAAAATATTCAAAAATGGCCTACCTCCGCAAGCTAGTCTGTCGGCTCTGCTATATTAGCCATATTATGAAGTATTATGGGTATGCAAGTGACTGAGCGTATCTGTGCAGGATTCTGTGCAAAGAGTCTAATGAGGAGTGGAAAGGAACCAAGTAGCTGTTGTCAATGTGATTATGGAAGGGCAAGAGGTGAGGTTGGGGATGGATCTTGGCATTGTTAAGTCTAAAGAAGTCTTTGAGTACCTTCTTAGGGGAGATAAGTTATATTAACTCCCAAAATACCTGAAGCCTCCTTTAACCATCAAACATCTAAAAATCCTCCCCATCTCCAACCCCCTGTCCACCATCAACTGAACTCTCAGAACGACTCTCCAATTTCAATGGGCTTCCTGGTTTCTCCAACAAGCCAAGACAAGTACCGAAGAACTAGGAATCACCAACGACAGAATTCTTCACAAAGTAGTCCTTGATTCCACCAGAGATCCTGAAGGAGCAGCCAAGTTCGCACAAGAGTCTGGCAGCTAAGGTGAGAGAATTGGGGATTTACAGAGCACTCTAACACTTCATCCATTAAGATTAGACGAAGCCTTTGAGACCATTGGAAGATTAAAAACTTGAACTGAGGATATAGACACTATCAAGTTTGAAGGAAACCTTTTGTGGGATAGAAAGCTCAATGAAGGTCTTGATCTTCATAAATTAGAGAAATTATTAGAAACCCTAAATAAAAATAAAACAATTATTTTTGAGTTCAGAAGCTACTTACTACTACCCATAGCAATTAATATGGGATTGCTTACAAAAGATTGGAGCGAAAGTTTTCCGAACTTGTCTAGAGTAAACTGATTCAAATTTGGGGAGAAGTTTCATGAGCATAACAGACTTCTTGTGATCAATAAGACTTCTGCCAAGGTAATTACTCACAATATTTTGTGAAATTCACTCTCTTGAAATTTTTAATAGTTTTATTTGAAACAAAATATTTTTGACACCTATAAAATCTTCATTGTAATGACTCTTTTTGCTACTTTAAAAAAAGTTTCACTCACTAGTAAGCTTGCACCACTTATATAAGCTCATAGATTTCTATTTAACTTTCTCACATCTCTCAATTAAACCCTTCCTCTCAATTTAAGAGACCGAGCTAGCAAAAAATTTAATAATTTCATACAAATAATCGCAAAACGCTATAAATCCTGAAATAGCTTCTGTCTACACTCAATGGTACCTTAAACCCTCCTTTAAGCTACTAAACTCCTATGAAATGACTCCACAAGACTAAGCAGCTTTCAAGTTGCAATAGTATAAATCTACTCTAAAATCATCCCTCTTTTTATTGAACAGATCTCAAAGAATAATACATTTTTAGAAGATTTAGTTCTAAATATTCCCAAATTATTTTCAGGTCCATCTGTAGCCAAAGTCTTGACTAACTCCTTGCTTGCTTATGACTGATAAATTATTTAGAGCGGCAATCAAGTCAGATTTGTAGTCAAAATTAAAGATGAGGGGAAAAGTATTATAGATGGATTCTGTATTTTTAAAGCCGATAAATTCTGATACCATGCAGGAGTGGGAAATGATTTCCAAAAAATAGATGATATCTTAATTCTTCCAGCGAAAGAAACTGGAGTGTTCTCAAGTGGAAACTACTTTGAAGTTACTAATCTTGTTGAGGAAGATTACGAAGATCCTGGTTATATGGATACATTAGAAAGAATTAAGTCTCTTGGAAACTCATCAGCCGGGGATATCTTTCTTCTCAACATCAAAGAAAAAGTAATCTATTCCAATTAACACAAGATACTTACGAGTCAAAAATATCCTATCAAACTCAAACCCTTCCTACAAACTCCTAGTCTCCTGCTGGGCTGACCAAAAAAAGAAAAACAAACTGCTTATCCTACCAAATAGGCCTAATCTGAGGCCAACTCACAAACATTCTCCATATCCTCAAACAACTCACCAACCAGCTCACTTGCATCTATTCCCTAAAATCCCACTAAAATCTCCCTCTAAGCCTCCCACCTTAAAAACGTGTTCGGCCGTTCCAGTAGCCAAAACCTAAAATTCTCAATAACTTTTGAATTCAGTAATTTTTGACATTTTAAAAGGGCCTTAAAGGATTGTTAAGAATAGAGATTAAAGCGTGTTCAGGGGTTTTGGAGGTTTAGAGATAGTAATAATTTTTTAAGAACCAGTTTGAAAATGTGAGACTTATGCCGAGTTCGTTTTATTATGGTGGTGGAAGGGGTTGAAGCTGAAGTTCAGAGAAGAGTCTTGATGATATTTTTGTTGAGTTGATAAGGAGTGTAGAGGGATGAAAGTTGCAAGATTTTATATAAGATAGAGAGTTATTTACCTCAGAATGTTCATTTGAACTTTTTCTAGGTGTTCTTAGGCAGGATACATATCTAAGAGATCTTGAGATAGTAATTAACTCACAAGATCTTCTTCATAAAGTTTTGGAAACAGTTAAAGAAAACAAAATGCTCAGAATCTGCAATATTCATGCTAAAAGGTATCCAAAGAAGATATTCAAATAGCTAGAAAATTAGAATAACAAAGAGTTTCCTTACAGTTCCAGCTATTCCGTATGAAGAAAAGAGTTTACCCCAAAAGAGAGCTTTAATTTAAAACATATTACCCAGAAAAATCATAAAAGAAAGTTCCGAACAAATCCTGAATCACAAAAAATGAATATTGTTCAATAAATCAGAATATCTCAGGGGTTTTGGGGTTTTGGGGTTTTGGGG